TCTTTTCCTAAGGCAGGTTACAGTGGCCTCAAGCCCTCTCTTCTCATATTTGACATAGTTTTGAATGTGTTATGTATTGTGTTTTTTTTTTTTTATTTTTCTGAAATTAAAGTATGCAAAATAAAGAAGATGCCGTTTTATACAGTTTTGCTCCTTTTGAGTTCCCTTAGCTGCTTTATCCCAAGTCTCCCTTGCCATCAGAAGTACGGGTTATATGAGAAGAAAACTATCATGTTAACTCCACCAAAATATAGGACCAAGGCCATTGCAGCAGTTTAATTTAATAAAAATAAAATTATGAGCAGAAAGTTACATTTTCAAAGTACCAAAACCTGCAACTGGCTCTGAGCAGAGCCATGGGATCCAGGAGCAGAGGGTGGTGGTGCTGGCAGGGCTCTCCCCTCCCCTAGCACAGCACCACCTGTCATTTATCCTAGGAAAGCAGCACTGCTTACAATCACCAGAGTAAGAGATGCAGGCGTCTGGGAGGAATCTATAAGGGTATTCAGGGTAGGGGACAAGCACTGGTGAGGTTGGTGGCAGAGCTAACAGCAAGACTTCAGGGAATTTCTGGAAGATACCTTTGCCCCTCTCCAAACAGAACTCTACTCTGGGGCTCAAGAGTCATACCAGAGGACTGGTGGCTTAAGGCAAAAGGGAAGGTGGCCTTCTGGCCTCCCCACCCCTAACTGCAGAGCTGTTTTGTAATACTGAGGAAAGCTTGCATTTGCCCTTGAGCCAGCCACCTGTGAGAAGCTACACTAGGAGAGGAAAACAGTATGGTAAAAGGATCTTCGTTCACTTTGCCAATCAGGTCCCTCAAACCTGCACAGGGGACTCGATGGGCACAGCCTTCTTTCCCCGTTGCTTTAAGCGGCCCCGGGCATAGACTCTGAGCAGGAGGGCAGCAAAGACCACAGCCACCCCTAGGCCCCCCACCACCGTGATGGTATGGCCATAGAGGAGGCAGGAGAGGAGAATGGCAAAGGCCTGGCGGAGGGTCATGATGATGGTGAAGACTGCGGCCCCAAACTGTCCAATGGTGTAGAAGATGAAGAGCTGGCCACATGCGGAGCACACGGACAGCAGCAGGGCGTGTGCAGCAAACTCACTGTGTCTCCCCATGAAGCGGGTCCCCTCCAGGAGGGCCCCCTGCTCTAGCAGGGAGCCCACTGTGAAGAGGCAGGAGAAGAAGTTGACCCCAAGCATCATCTGCACTGATGACATCTTATAGGCAAATAGGGCATCCTGCCAGTTTGAGGTGAAGCTGTCAAAGGCAATGTAGCCTCCCAACAGGATCAGGCCCGAGAGCGTGGTGGCCTGTGAGCTTCGGGGCTCTGGCCCGCTGGACAGCAGAAACATGCTGACCCCAATGGAGATGAGGCCTGCTGTCAGGTACTCCCAGTGTTCGTAGCTGCGCCGAGACACCAACTTTCCCATTAGCATGACAGGGATCACCTTAGAGGCCTTGGCCAGCACCTGAGTGGGGAAGCTGACAAACTTGAGAGCTTCATACTGACACCAGCTGCTAAGCACGTTCGACAGGCTGGCAAAGGAGTACTGGTACATGGGTGCCCCATGTCGGGGCTGTTTGCAGAAGAGGCAGTAGAGGCCAGCCACAATAAATGCCAGCACTCGGTTCATTAGCACCAGAAACTGAGAGTCTGTGAAGCGCTCACCTGCCCATGTGGCTGTGGCCCCATAGCTGCGGGTCATCACTCTTTCCTGCAGCACTCCCCAAGTCAGGTAAGACACCTGGATGGGGGAGGGTGGAGATTAAAAGGAGAAATAAGAAAAAGGTTGCCAAAAAGATTTCATCAACTTCCCTCTTCCTCAGAAGGCTGTTTAAAGCAGCAGTCGCCAGCCTTTCCGACCGACCACCTGTTGGCGACCACTAGTTTAAAGGACAGCACACATAATTTGGTTCTTCTGTGTAGTAACTAGGAAGTTTCCCTTTCCCTCTCAAGCCTGGATTTATCTTGTAGGGAATCAAGTGTGTGTGAAACACAACAAATGCTTTAGAACTGCCCAGACCCTGTCTGTCCCACAGGAGGGTTTGTTAGAGCTGCTCCATCCCAAACATTTTCTATTTCCAACCAATTCAGGCAGGCAAGAATTGGACATCTATCAGTTTGACATGTTATATGAGGTGGGACTAGTAGTGTCCACTCAAAAATGCCATGAGGTCAGCATCTTGGCACATGCAGTGTGGGAGAAGGCTGAATGGCTTCCCCGCAAAACTTTTATCAGTGGGTTTACAGTACAGTATATGAAACACATCATTGTGGAAGAAAGTGTAATAGGACAGTAGGAATCACGGGGAGGTGGGGGAGAGACATTTTCTCCACTCCTAAGAAGATGGTGGTACAGTGTGCCCCTAGGAGGGGGACACATAACCAACTAAAACACGGTTGGGACTGGAAGGGTGAAAACTTTGGTTCCAGAGCCCCTGCCCACCGTGCCCCAATGCCTGCCCGCCTACCTGGAGTCCCACCGCACAGAAGAGCAGCTTCAGGGCCTGCCACGTAGGAGTGGTCTCCGCCGGCTCTGTCCGGGGAGCCAGGGGAACCTCGTCGGAGGCTTTGGGCTCATTGCCAAATACACACACTCTCACCAGAGGGAAGCAGAGGCCCCTGCCTGCAGAAGGCACGCAAAGTCAAGCCCCAGTCTTCTCCCCAGCACCTCATGGTCTTCTCCAGAGCAGCCAGCTGCCCTGCCGCTCTCCTCCCTCCCTCCCTCCCGCCCGTGCCAAGCCACATCCCGGCGGGGACAGCTGGCCAGCACTTTTCCTGTGCACCGAGCACACTTCCCCACCCTTGGCCCACACACCTGTCTCAAGGTAGTTCTTCCGCCTGAAGTACCGCACCAGCAGGTAGCCAGGTAGCATGAAGCTGGCGTAGCCAGCAGCATTCACCAAGAAGCGGAAGAACCATTGCTGGGTCCAGGACTCCGGAGGGGCTTCGGGGGTCTCCCCACCTGCCCCCAGGGAGGGGATGGCAACCAGCACCACCACTGCCCACCACCTGCGGGGGCAGCGGACAGCAGGGTTAGGGAGCAGTTAGCTCATCACCCACTGGGTCTCCCAGAGGGGTCCGCACGGGAGAAGGGCCCGGAGTCACCTCCCCGCCCCCCTCAGCTGCAGCCCAGCCGGACAAAGAGCCTCTCTCTCTCCTTGGGGGGCCGGCGCCGTCCAGGCAGGGCTCCCTCCCTCCCCGGGGACGGACCCGCCCCGCCGGGCACACAGGTTCCTTCTGTTTCCCTCCAGCGCTCGCCCGCTGCTCCGGCCGGAGGCGGCGCCCCCTCCTTACACCCCGCCCTCCAGGCTCCCGGCGCGCCGGGGTTCCCCAAGTCCTCCGCCTGACGCTCCCCGACTCCCCCAAAGAGCACAAGCCCCCGCCACGCCCCCGCCGGCCTGGCCGGCTCCGCGAAGCGTCCGGCGAGCCCACCGCCCCGGCAGCTGGGAACCACCCCGGCCCACCCGGCGGCGCAGCGGTCACGTGGCCCGGCCCCGTCACGTGGCCTCGCCGCCCCTCGCCCCCCACCTGGCAACCATGGTCCGCGCCGCGTGGGGCGGAGGGGGGCCGGGGAATGCGAAGCCCCGGGCCGCGCGCTCCCTCCGCTCCCGCCGTCGCCTCCTGGAGCTGCCAGCGAGCCAGCGGCCAGCGGAAGTGCCGCGATCTTCCCGCCTCCCTCTGCCCGCGGCCGCCCCCCGCCCCCCGCCACGACCACGCAGCGCCCCGGGCTGCCGCCGGCCACAGCGCCCCCGCGCGGCCCGGAGGGAGACGGGCGCGCCGCCCGGGTGTTGGCTGCGCTGCGCGGAGAAGGGGGGAGTCGGAGGCCCCGGCCTCCCCCTGCTTCGTCATCGCCTCCCCCTAGGCCTCACCACCAGCCCGGGGGGCAGGGCCGTCTCAGGGGCGGGCCTTGGAGGCTCTGACCCGAGCACTTCCCCTTATGTTACCGTCTTCTGGCCGGAAGATGTCTCATTTTTTGGAGGGGCCAGCAGTTCTGACCTTCAAGGCTCTGCCTGACCTGGCCCCGTCTGCCTCGCCCACTCACCTTCCCGGGTGGAGCCACGCTGGCCGGCTCCGCTCCTCTCCTTCGCCTCCCCCATCCCTTCACTCCTCCTTCTGTCGGGGCTGAGATGACACTCGGAGGCCTCCCCCGACCACCCAGTCTGGCCCTCCACCCTCGCCATTGTGCGCCTTCCCAGGGCTTGCTTCCTTCACAGCACCGCTGTAACTTGTGATTACATATTACATGGAAATACACATTGATGATCCTAGGGCTACCTCGCTCCCTAGACCAGCGATGGCGAACCTATGACACGCGTGTCAGAGGTGACACGCGAACTCATTTTTTTGGTTGATTTTTCTTTGCTAAATGGCATTTAAATATATAAAATAAATATCAAAAATAGAAGTCTTTGTTTTACTATGGTTGCAAAGATCAAAAAATTTCTATATGTGACACGGCACCAGAGTTAAGTTAGGGTTTTTCAAAATGCTGGCACGCCGAGCTCAAAAGGTTCACCATCACTGCACTAGACCATATGCTCCAAGTGGCCGGGGACTGTGTTGATTTGTTCCCATATTCTTCACCCAGGCAAAGGCCTGACCTAACAGGTCCCTCAAACATGTGTGGAATATGGGGAAGGAAAAAATACAACACAGGAAAAGCCATAGCTCCCCTGTGTCCCCCTCCCGAGGCCGGCCCTGCTCCCCACAACCTCCGAGGAAGTGAGTGGTGAGGCCCCCTTATTTCTACCTCCTTACTTCTCCTTCTCCTTTCCTCCCCCCTCTGCATTTCCACAGAGAGGGCCAGGATCTGTGCTGGACAGAGGCCGGAGGACGGCAGCCCTCCCCGCCCACCCAGCACGGTCCTCCCCTGCTAAGGTGATCCTCTCCGCTCTGCCTCCACCACAAGGTCACAGGACAGGCCCGTGTGAAAACCCCCGGGGCACACAGACATGCATTGGCGCAAAACAACTCTAGGGGGGAAAACCTTTTTAAAGTCTCTGCCGTTTTAGTGTCATGTTTTTGAAACTTCCCCTTCCCCAAGGCTCAGTCCGGGGCCTTCTGCGTGTCAAGTCTTTAAACAACAGTTCTCAATAGCAGTGAGATGGGAGCTCTGAGGGCTCTGCTTGCTCGTATTTCAGTTTCCTCTCCCAGGAGAGTCCTCGTTTTCCTATTGGTTGGCAGTTTTAGGGTGACCCGGCGGCGTGGGTAGGAACAAGAGCCCCTGCCATCTTCCAGAGAGGTCAACAGGCTTCACCCAGGATACCGGGGGCTTCGGGGTGGGAGGGGTCTTCCAAGAATCTCCGTCCACCTGGGCAGCTCTTCTTTCCGGACTGGCTCGCCCTCACGTGTGATCCCTCCTCTCAGCTCAGGACTGTGCTGGCCCAGCCGTCCCCAGGACTCCGGAGGGCACGCTGCCTGGGCCCAAACTGCAGCAACTGTGGCTCTAGCTTCCAGAAGGGAAGACGGGAAGCCTCCAGGGCCCCAGACCCTGCGCTGGCTTCAGTCGGCGCACATCAGTGGCTTTCCAGAGATCTTCAGGTCATCGAAGGGCAAAAGAGCAAAGGGCTGAGAAAGAGAATGGAGAGAAGCAAGATCAGGGTCCAGGGGGGGAAGGCAGTGGTGGGGGAAGGGAGCTGGGGAGACCTATTGGGTCATTTGCTCCCCATCAACTGATTCTTGGACAGGAAGGAACAAATCTTCCTACTAATCTCCCAAATGGTAATCCCTCTGGGCTAGCAAGAATCCCGAGGCCTTAGGCAAGTCCTCCCTCTCTAAGAAAATCCATGAATATCACAGATAGGGACCAAGGAGGTGATCCAGCCCATGGGTCTACTAGTTTCTGGGGGGTTGGGGTGGGGGAAGGGGACTCACAAAATATTTTGAATATTTTTTTTACATTGAACACTTAAAAATGGAGACTATACAGAAAATCTAGGTTTCATCTCTCTTAAAACATTCCCGAGACCTGGAAATGCTGGACCATATTCCCCCTCTGCAACTAACTGCTGAAGCTGAATGGAGTGACCCTCGGTCAGAGACTCTCTGGCCTCCCACAGGCCCCACCACCCACTGTACTACACCTGGCCTGCTTCCCTGATCCGCGTTAGCTGTAGTCCAAGTTTGGGCTGAGAGAGGGGCAGAAGCTTGCCCAGGATCCCACAGTTGGTGAGTGGCAGAATCGTGGATTGCCCCCCAGGATCCTAACTCCTTGGCGATTTCAGCCATTACAAGCTCGTGTCTCTGTTAAGGGTGTGGGAAGGACTGGAGAGCAGAGCTGAGTGTGTGCCTCTTACATCCTCAGCCAGGTCCTGGGGCGCCACATCCTCTGCCAGGTCCTGGGGCGTCTCGTCCTCCACGTTCCTCAGCAGAGAGTCGGCACCTGCTTCTCTCAGGGTGGATGAGATGCTCTTGAGGCCGCGGCCTGCAGCCAGGTGCAGGGGTGTGCACCCATTGAGCATACGGGCGTCTACCCGGGCCCCGGCCTGGAGCAGGAACTGTACAAGACTCCGCTCTTGAGTCTCCACAGCCAGGTGCAGCGCTGTCTTCCCACTTGTGCCCTCCTGGAGAAAAATAAGGGTGTCTTCCAAGGCCCTCAAGAGGAAGCACGCTGGGTCCAGACCCCGGATAAGGTGCCACCACTTCTCACACTGGGAGGGACCTGAGGGCTGGACCAGGTGACGGGCAGACACTGGGCCAGGCAGCACCCTGACTGGCCACCTCACCTGCACATCAATGTCAGCTCCATTTTCAAGAAGCAGTTTCATGAGTGGCTGGTTCCTCTGCAGAGTGGCGATGTGGAGACAGGCCAGACCTAGGATGGAGTGAATGTGGAGGCTGCTAATCTGCATCCACCAACTCTCTCTCCCCCAATCTTCAGGACCTCCCTAGCCCTCGGCCCCCAGGGACCCACTGCCCACTCAATACCTCTGATCACAGGGCTGTTAAAACCCAAACCCAAAAACCCCCTCAAAAGTCTGAGGGGAAAGGAACATAAAGTTTCCACCTTTTCAGAGTCATGTTATTGAAACTTTCATGCTTCAGGGGTCAGGTTGCTGAGTGACACCCCCATACAGGCACCCTCCCCTATCATCCCCCCCTCCCGCATTCTCTCTAACTCTAACTGCCTGCTTTGAAACCCTGGCCACAGCCACCTTCTTCGGAGGTCTCTGGGATCCTCATGCCCCAGCCACTTCCTCCCATGCACTTCCCTACCTTTTTTCTGTCTCCTTTCTGGCTACTCTGCTTAAAGAACTAGATGCAGATTCACACGTCTGCTCAAAGGTCCCTGCTCCACGAGGCTTTCCCTGGCCACTATTCAATCACATGTAATCACACAGCCCCACCCACCCCCGCATTCCAGTTCTTCTCACTCTGTTCTTTCCCGAAGCACCGACTGCCTTTTAACCTACTAGGGAATCCACTTCCTATATTTATTGTCTATCTCAATCGTTCTGTTTTGTTCACAGATGCAGTCCCAGGTTCTAGAATAGTGTCTGGCACATAGAGGCCCTCAGTGCATTTTGTTGAATGAATGAATGATCTCTGTTCAACTGAATATCTTGAGGGCAAGATTTAGCTCTCTGTTTAGCACACAGCAGGTTCTAAGCAAATTCTAAATCAAATTCATTCATGCAGCAAAGATGTACTGAGCATCTATGTACTTAGACCTGGAGGTGCATCAGTGGACAAGCTATGGTATGACCCTCCCCTCCCCTGAGAGTAGGGTCCTGGTCTCTTGTCTCCTTTTCAACCTATGTGCTCTATGGCTGCCCGTACCTTGCCAATTTTGCAGCTGGAGGTCCAGGGAGTGAGGTGGTCCTCTGCCTGACTCTGGCTGTCCTTCCAGCAGGCAACGGGCACAGGTTAGGTGCTGGCGCTGGCAGGCCACATGCAGGGCTGTGTCACCATGTCGGTCCTGTAGCATGCGGCTGGCCCCTTTCAGCACTAGGGCCTGCACTGTACCTGGCTGGTCCAGGTGTACAGCCAGGTGCAGCGCTGTCTGTAGGCACAAACAGAGGGTCGCAGGGCCACTGCAGCATGCTCCCACCTCTGGGGACATGCTGGGGTGGGCACAGGAATTGACAACGGCCAGCACCAACCTTGAGGGCAGCTTACAGAGGCTACGGCCCTGCTCTTCCAAGGCCACATTACCCAGCCCTTCCCTCTGTTGCCCCCCACCAAGCTCCTGGAACCCCAATCCTGGAGGCAGGGTGAGGGAAGTGGCCCCCTGCTCTTCTTGAAGGTTCCCTTAGCCCCTGGAGAAAGCACAGATGGAGTCAGGGTCTACCTTCTCATCCTCTAGGCGCCGTGGTCGGCAAACTGCGGCTCGCAAGCCACATGCGGCTCTTTGGCCCTTTGAGTGTGGCTCTTCCTAAGCCTTAGGAGTACCCTAATTAAGTTAATAACAATGTACCTACCTATATAGTTTAAGTTTAAAAAATCTGGCTCTCAAAAGAAATTTCAATCTTGTACTGTTGACATTTGGCTCTGTTGACTAATGAGTTTGCCGACCACTGCTCTAGGGAAACCTCTGTTATCCCCAAGCTCGAGGTGACAGAGGGGGGCTGGGGAGAAGAAAGAGGCGCCAGGCAGGCTCCACCTGGCACACTCCTCTTTAAGGCTCCAGGCAGATGCCACCTCCGTATTAACCCTTCCCTGGCTGCTCCCCACACACAGTGGATCCCACAGCGGCTGGTAGGTGCCTCCATCACAACTCTTGTCACCATGCTGTGTAATTATGTGTTGACATGAGTCCCTAGTCCAGGCTCAAGCACCTTGTGGGCAGAGGCTGTCTTACTCATGTCTGTATCCTCAGCCTCTAGCTCCGTGTCTTGCATATGGTTTCCTGAGGAAGCAGCCTAAGGTCACCTGTGCGGCTGCTCAGGTCAGGAGGTCTGCCAGGGCAGACATGGGTATCTGGACACAGCCTACCCTTTCCACCCACCTGGTAAAGGTTGTTCTGAATGTCCAGGACCTCCTGGGGCAGCAAAGTCAGGCAACAGAGCAGCACAGCTGGGGCCTCATGAATCACCGCCAGGTGGACCAGCCTGGAGGGCAGGGCAGGGGTTAGGGTCAGGACCCAGGTCAGAGAGAGTGGGCTGGGGTCCTGGGGTTAGAAGGAACACCTCTCTAAGAAGCCACCCACAGGGTAGGTGCAGGAAGTGAGCATTTGGGCCAGGAAGTGAGGGTTGGTGTGGGAAACCAGATTCCCGGGGGAGGAGGCTCCAAGTACCCATCTCTGGCCTTCAAGAAGGGCCTTGGCTCCGTGGGAGTGCGGGCAGGGTGCCCACGGGCCAAGGAGCTTCCTGTCCCACACCCCACTCCCCTTCTGCCCCAGGGCCCCACCAGACCAGCTGCAGCTCCAAAGCCAAACTGAAAGCTGCTGGGGTCGCGCAGAGGTGGTTTCCAGGCTGAGCTCCCCACATACCCCCAGCCCAATAGGGAGTACAGAGACGGCAGGAGTGGGGGCACCCCTCCCCCCAACTCAATGTCGCACATGCCAAGGGAGAGTAAACAGAAGCTCTTGAATGAGGAGCAAGGAGTGCAACATCCTGTCCTGCTGCCCGCCCCCCCCCCCCACCCCTCTGAGGGGAGTGAGTCTAGAGGGCCCCTCTTCACAGCCAGACTGGCCAGGTCTGGCCAGTCTTCCACTCTGTGTGCACCTCCAAGGCGAGGTCTGTGCAGTGTAGAAAGTCTGTGTTTGTTGGGGGACAAAGAGCCTTAACCTAAGGGTGGGAGGACAGCTGGGAGGGGAAGTTCCAGTCCTGGGGTTTCCCCACATCAGGTGGGGAAAATGAAAGCCAGAGCTGAAGGGTCTCGGCCAGGACAGCTGCCTTGGGACGCCAGTGACTGGGGGGAGCTTGGCTAAAAGGCCTGTCTGGGCTGGGGAGGGGGCTGCGCGGGCAGGAGCGGGGCAGGCTTGGCTGCGGCAGCGGCAGGAGAGAGTGACGAGGGAGGGAGGAACCGCTCTGGAAATCCCCTCGGCCAGGACCAGCTCTCTGGGTCACATTCCTGCAGCCACCTCCCTCTCTCCCTCAGTCTCCCCTCCTCCCACTTCCTCTTCCCACTTCCATTTGCCCCACACCCCAGACACTTCCGAGGGAAGAGACTCCACTGGGGAGTCTTGCCACCTCCCCCTGCCCATTCTAGACACACCTGTCTCCAACCAGAGGAGAGAAAGGCTGGGCTGAGAGCCTCACAAAGGAGGGCAGCACCAGAAGTCCCCACCCCCTGGGGCAAAGGTCAGCCATAGGTATTCCACCTGGAGCTCCCACTCCCTGGGTCAAAGGTCAGCCATAGGTATTTCACATGGAGTTCCCAAAATCTTGGCTCTGGGCCTGAGGGCTGATGATTTGGGCACAGAAGACACACAGTACAAAAGGCCTGGGGTCACACCTCTCCTGCCCACTGGGTCTCTTTGTCAAAGGTCACCTAGGATTATGACCCTTGCATTTCCATAAAGCAGATAAGGACACACTTCCTGCTCCTTCCACATCCTTCCTACCCTGTTCAACATCCCTGATCTGGGACCCCAGCTCCCTCCACTGTTTCTAACCCCCAAATCCCAGCCACCCCCTCTCCTAACAGTGTTTTTTCTTTCTGAGGGGCAAGTCCTCATCTGGCCTGACCTTTTGCACTACAGCCTCTTACTTCAACTGCTTCCTACCCAGTCCCCGCAAGATCCACCTGGGCCTGGGGAGAAACGGACAGGCAAGGGGGTCAGGCAAGACAGCGAGGAGGACTGGGGGGACTTTGGGAGATAGAAGGTGTCGGTAAGGCTGACTCCAACCCTCACTTCCCCTTTCTCAGCAGAGGAGGAAGTAAGCTGCAGCAGCCAGCCGCTTATCATTCTGCTGGGGCAAAGGTGCCCCAACCTGGCTCACCCCCTCCTCCTCAGGGCCAGCCTTAGCTCTGTACCCTGGCCATACCCCCACCCCTAGCTTCCTGGCCTCCATTGGCAACCTGTAACTGGCATCTCTTGTTCCTTGAGACAGGGCATTCTGAGGTCAGGGGCTGGGAATTCCAGATATTGCACAAGCAAGGATGCCCTCTCCCCCAGCAAGGAAAAAAAAACCACAAAAAACCTGGACTGGTCAGGGGAATTTTCTCTTCCTGGCGGTGGGTTATTGGTAGGTTTCCAAGATTCTAGGTGCCTGGTATGGGCCCTGCCAGCTCTGCCCACCTCCAAAAGGGAGGGCAGAGAGGTGATTCCCGGTCCTCCGGTCTGGGCCTGGCTGGAGCTCAAAAGTGAGCAGAGAGTTAAGTTTGGAGTTTGGAGGAGAGAGTGGAGAATGCCACTTCCAGGGCAGGTGCCGCGAGGGATCACGACAGAGCGGGTGTTCCTGGGGAGGCCCCGAGTGCGCATCGGGACGGGGTGCAGCCCCAACCTCGCCCCCGTACTCACGTGTCTCCGTCCTCCGAGATGTAAGTGAGCGCTTCCAGCTGCTGCGGGCTCAGCGGCCCAGCTGCGGGGAGCGGCGAGCCTGGGGGTGGGTTTTCGGCCTCAGGGCCCCCCCAAAAGGTCAACGGCTCGGTGAGCGACGAGGAGCCATAGGTGGAGTCAGCCCGCTCCCCATCTGTGTCTTCCTTGTCCTGCAGCTCTTTGGCGGTTCCCGGAGGATGGGTCCAGGGCTGGGGGCCTGTGCCGCCCGGGGGCCGGGAGGCGGAGGCCGGGGCGGTGTCGGGCAGGGAGCGCAGGGAGCGCAGGGACTCGATGCCCGAATCGCACTGGCTCTCGTCTGACTCGTCCATCCCCTTGCGCGCCTCCGACATGCCCGCGGCACCGGCCCGCGGGGGCCCCGTCCCGGCAGGAGCGGGCTGCGGGCGCCGCCGCGCCGCCTTTCCGGGTTGCAGGTCCGTCTTGCGGAGCGGGCTCCCGGCCTGAAGCGGCCTCCTTCCCGGGCTGCTGGGGTCCGAGGAGTCGGCGAGAAGCGTGGGAGAGGATCCGAGCGCCGGTGGGTCCGCCGCAGAGGTTACTCAGGGAAGCCCAGTCTGACGCGCTCTCCCGCCCCGCCCCTCAGGCCCCGCCCCCGACAGGCGCTTCCGGGCACAGGCCCCGCCCTCCGGAATCCCCCGTACCCCGCCCTCTGCGTTGGCTCTGAGTCCCGGGTTACCCGGTACTGACTCACTGGTACGTTAATTCACCCATTCATCATCCTTCCATCCATCCCTCCATTCATCCATCCATCCATCCATCCATCCATCCATCCATCCATCCATCCATCCATCCAATCACCCCTCCGTCCATTCATTCATTCATTCATTCATTCACTTTCCCCCCTTCCTTCTTTTCCATTCATGATCCCATGCAGTCTTTCCTTCCTTTACTTCGTCCATTCCTGCACTCATTGTTTCCATTCATTCATTTATTCATTCGTGTGTTGTTAAAGAAATATTTATCAATTGTACAAACTAGACATCTTGTGGGGGCGGGCATGTGGTTGGTGGGATGGGGTGCACTGCTTCCTATCTCCTACCTATTTCCATTTCTCTTGCTTTCTCATTTACCAGTGCCCAGGAGTTTGGGTAGGGAAAGGGGATATCCATTGTCTTTATTTTATTTTTATTTTTTAAATATGTATTTTATTGACTTTTTACAGAGAGGAAGGGAGAGGGATAGAGAGTTAGAAACATTGATCAGCTCAGCTGCCTCCTGCACACCTTCTACTGAGGATGTGCCCGCAACCAAGGTACATGCCCTTGACCTGACCAGAATTGAACCTGGGACCTTTCAGTCTGCAGGCCAACTCTCTATCCACTGAGCCAAATTGGTTAGGGCTCCATTGTTTTTAAAGGAGTGGTCCTCCCTTTGGGTCCTGGGTAGAGGGTCTCCTGTGTCAGCTTCCCAGATCACACAGAATTGGGCATGAGGATGTGCTTTTCAAAACTGGGTTTTCTCAGGCAGACGGTTGTCTAAATGAAGGAGGTTGGTCATGCTTTTTTGTTGTCTAAAAGAGCAAAGTGCACCCACTGGTGTGGCTCAGTGGTTGAGCATCGACCTATGAACCAGGAGATCATGGTTCGATTCCTGGTCGGGGCACATGCCTGGGTTGCAGGCTCATGCAGGAAGGAGGCAGCCAATCAGTGATTCTCTCTCATCATGGATGTTTCTATCTCTCTCTCCCTCTCCCTTCCTCTCTGAAATCAATAAAAAATATATTAAAATATTAAAAAGCAAAGTGGTCATTCTTCACAGGGGTGAAACACTGGTCTCTGTGGTTACAACATCTGGTTACCCCCATCTATCAGGGAAGATTACTTCCTCGTGGTGGGGCCAGGATGGGGAGGCCCCAGACACATTGGGCCACACTCTGCCGGGGTGACCGTTCAGCTCCAGCCCCAGTGCCAACACATCTTTCCTCCTTCCCTATCCCTGCTTTCCCTGGGCCCAGGGAGGCCTTAGGCAAACCACACCCACATGTTGAGGTGCAAACCAGTGCCTCATGATTTACCCGCTACCCCAAGTGCCATCAGTCATGGACCAACAATGCCTTTTGAAGATCATCCACAAAGGAGCATCTTTTCTGTCTCTGGCATTGGGGGAAGAACACTGGGTGCGTGTAGACAGCTGCTAACCAGCTTCCCTAGTGCCCTCTCCCATACAACCTCATTTTATTCATCCATTTGACAAACATGTGGAGCTTCTCCTACATGTATGACACTGTTCTCTCTGCTGGAAGCAAAACTGAGTATCACAGTAACTAATTCATATCCACCAACCACCAACCCCACTGAGCCCCTGGCAATTACAACACAGTGATTGTGCTAAGACAGGAAGAGGGTGGTGTGGGGGCACACAGTGGGGAGAGGGGCAGGGAAGTTTCCATTTGAACTGGAAATGGGAAGGAAAGGGGTCTGGGGAGGAGGGAAGTACCTAGTCTCTGGAGGAGGGGATTAGTAAGGCGAGAGGAGAGGGGGGAGAGCAGATGAGAGGAGATGACCTACTCCTCTCCATCCCCCTGGAGGACCAGAGAGGGAGAATGTGCTGAGTATGAGGCTGTAAGAAGCCATGAGGGAAAAGCCCAAGGAAATTAAGGCATCTCCTTCCATGGGGTCAGTGCAATTTCAGATGTTTTCAACTTCTTCCCCTGACCCTTTCCTCTCCCATCCTCAAAAGCTGGAGTAAAAGTATAAACCTCAGACCCAGACCACTTGGGTTCAAAATCTGGAACTATCCCCATTTTAAAGTTGGGAAGCTGGGGCCCAGAGGGGTGAGTTGACTTTCCTAAGATCAAACAAAGTGCAGAGCCAGGCTCTCCTGCCCCTAATCCAAAACTTAAAATTGTTTCCAGTGAAATTTTTTTACCTTTTCTAATTTTTTCCTTTATGAATGCCTACAGGGCTTGGGGCATATGAGCCCTTTGCAAGGACAGGAGAACTCGGGAATGTTCAGTGGCCACATCTCTCATTCATACAGAGGTTGAATTTAAGGAAAAACCTACTCCTTTTCAGCCCATGTCTGGCTCTGAACCATAACAGGTGTGTGGCAGTCCCTTTTCTGGCCACATGAGGTCAGCTTTGAGTCACTCACTGCTTCCAGCATCTAGCCGACACTCCGGCCGGAAGCCCTTCTGGGGAAACTTCAGGAATGGGGAGAAGGACCATGCAGTGCCATCTGGAAAGATGGCCAAGGGACTTTGACTGCGGTCAGGGCCCCGACTTTGTTTCCTCAGCTCCAGTCTTCGAGGCTGGGCCCTTCTGGTCCTCTTCTCTTTATCTGTTGGTGTTTTCTAGTTCTCTTAGTTGTTCTCCCACTCCCAGCCTCCACCCACTCCAGCCCTGCTCATCTTCAGGAAGCAGCCCCAGTTGCCATGGTGACCAGCTGGTCAGCTGGCTCCTTCTGTGCCCCCTCCCTTCACCCCTCTTTCCCCTGGGCTTTCAAGGAAAAGTAATGTGTGTGAATGGATGGGGGGTGGGGGGTGTTTTTCAAAATCTCTTAGGAGCTCTGGGTTTGGCCAAAAGGAGTTGGGCTATCTCTCTTTCACAGCCCCTCCCCCCCCACCCGAGGTGAGGAAGGGAAGGCCGTGGAGGTGGGGGACAGGAGGAAGGGTATAACAACTAACTGGGGAGGGTGAGGCTTTGATCTGGGTTAGGAAAGGTCAGGGTCAGGACCTCTGCTCTGTCTACAGCGAGGACGGAACGAGGTGGAAGGGGATGAAACCAGAAGTGGAAGGGTCAAAGTTAGCTGTGAGGCAGGACTTTCTAAAAAGCATGGGCGGGAGACATGGGAATGAGTCGCCAGGTGAGATTTCTCCTCTGCCACTGGAGGGAAGGAGCACCCCTACCTCTTCAGGGGCACACCCTTCGCTGTGTGGGCAGGGAGGATGGGCTCACTGACGAGGAGGATCATGCAGGCTGGGTAGTTCTGAAGCAATTGGCTGACAGAGAGTCACCTCCACCTCGCCGGGTAAGGGAACAGTAGGAAAATGGAGGCAGGACCAAGAGTGGGAGTGAGTGTGTAGAGAGTGGAGGCACTGGCCCTTCTGCCCCAGCGAGTGGTGGGACCACCCCAACAGATCAGTGTGCTTGTCCTCTATCCCCAAAGATCAGATATCCGGGCTTTGCCTCAAGCTAAACTCCTACTCCCAGATATCCCCACGGACTTTGAATGGGGAAGATCCAGATTCGAGCTCTGTGACTATTACCTTGGGTAAGTCACTCACCTTCCCTCTGCCCCCGTTCCTAAAAGGTAAGCGGGGAAACACCTGCTATATGTCAAAGACTCCAATATAGCACATGACACACAGTAGGATTCCACAGTGACTGCACACAGATTGATCATGTTCTGTCATAATGATGGGTTTCCAGGTCCCCCTTCCCATTAGACTGTGCTCCTGGAGGGTAGGACATTGTGTGTTTCACTTCTGAAAGGGCGCACAGTAGGTACCTAATACCTGTTTACTGAATGGGTGCATTCAGAAATGAATGGATGTCAGTTTCCTTTCTTCCTGTCCCAGGTGTGGCGGGGAAAAGAAGTGTGGGTGGGTGGCATAGGAGGGTAGGCTGCCTGCAGTCTACCCTGGTCTATGGTCTGTGATTTTGCCTCCTGCGCCCAGAGAAGGTCAGAGCTTTAGAGACTGTCGGGTCAAATTCCTCACTGCACAGACGAGGAAACAAAGGCTCAGAGAAGGGAAGGCACTTGCCCAAGGTCATACAACATGTTAGTGGGAAAGCCAGGATTAAGAATGAGAACTCTGGCCCTGGCCGGTGCTCAGTGGTTAGAGCAACAGCCCATGGACCACAGGGCTGCTGGTTCAATTCCTGGTCAAGGGCGGGTACTTGCCTCCATCCCCACCGTTATTGGGGTACATGCGTGCAGGAGGCAACCAGTCAATGTGTCTCTCTCACACAGATGTTTCTTTCTCTCCTCTCCCTCCCTTTCACTCTCTCTGAAAAAAATCAATGGAGCCCTAACCGGCTTGGCTCAGTGGATAGAGTGTTGGCCTGCAGACTGAAGGGTCCCAGGTTCGATTCCGGTCAAGGGCATGTACCTTGGTTGCGGGCACATCCCCAGTAGGAGGTGTGCAGGAGGCAGCTGATCTATGTTTCTCTCTGATCAATGTTTCAAACTCTATCCCTCTCCCTTCCTCTCTGTAAAAAATCAATAAAATATATATTTTTAAAAAATCAATGGAAAGGATATCCTTGGGTGAGGATTTTAAAAAAATTAAAACTCTGGTGTCCTGACCTCTAGCACAGGACAATGTACACACTTCTTTGCTTCTCTGGGGCTGTGCTTCTAGGGAAGGAACATGGTCCCTGTAGGCTGGTTCCAGTGTCCTCTCTGCCCTCTGCTAGTCCTTTCTCGCATACAGTTCCAAGCCTTGCCCTTCTGCCCTGCTCCATCCAGGTTCAGTTGGGTCTGGCTCCTGCCTTATCCTTTACCACCCAACTGGGAATAAGAATCTTCCTAGGGTTCCAAGACTCACTTTCATAGATCTTCCCAGGATGGTGCGTGCGTGTGTGTGTGTGTGTGTGTGTGTGTGTGTGTGTGTGTGTATACGCGCGCCCCGATCATGGTTAGTAGGGCTAGGAGTGGGGAAGGGTGCGGGGAGCCCCTGTTGCTTCTCCTCTTTGGGGGGTGGTTATTCGGTAGGCTTGGGGAAGGCGGAGTTTGGGGGGGCTGGGGGCGGGGCTCCTGCGCTGGGAGGAAGAGGGGGGGCGCGCTGGCTTCAGCTCGGCTCAGACAAAAGGCGGCGGCGGGAGCGGGCGGGAGGCGGAGCGGCGCCGCGCGGGCCTCAAGGTGACACCCGCCCCCGGCCCCGGCCCCCCCAGCCCGGCCCCCCAGCCCGCCTGCCCACCCCGAGCCCCCTAGACCCTGACCCCCGGTGCCCTTTACAGGTCCCCTCCCCCCGTGCGGGGGGTGGGGAGCAGCGAGGGCCCCGCCCCCTCCCACCCCCTCCCCAGGGCCCGCGCAGGATGCCCCCGGCCCCCGGCAGCCCCCCGGGAGGCCCTGAGCTCGACGCGCCCCCTCTACGCCATGTCCCCCCCTGGCTCGGCCGCGGGAGAGAGCGCCGGCGGCGGCGGCGGCGGTGGCGGCCCCGGGGTCCCGGAGGAGCTCACGGCAGCGGCGGCGGCGGACGAGGGCCCCGCCCGAGAGGAGGTGAGAGCCGGAGGAGCCCCTGCCCCGGGCGCGGCCGCAGCCTGGCCCCCCATCCCCCGCCGCGCGGCCCCCGCCGGTTCCGCCGCAGCGCGGCCAGCGCCCCGCACCCCGAGCCGAGCCGAGCCGGCCGCGGCAGCCGCAGTCCCGCGTAGCTGTCCGCACCGGCGGGCGGGAGCTGTCCGTGGTGGCGGGGAAGGGGCCGCGCCAGGGGCGGGGCTCGGGGGTCCTGGGCAGGGGGCGGGGCCTGGGGGCGGGGCCTCGCGGACCCCGGGCAGATCCGGGTGGGGACAGTGGCCGGGATCCTGGATCACAGAGGGGATGCTCTCTTGAAGGCCAGGAAGGGCGACTTGTGGGGGCTACAGAGGCAGGAGAATACCAGGGGGAAGGAGTGGCATCATCTGAGCTGGGGTCCTAAGAAGGTCAAATGTGTAGAGAGGCGACACCCACCTTCCCCCCATGCCTTCCCCCAGCCCGTCACTAGGAGAGTGTGTGTGTGTGTGTGTGTGTGCACCTCCTGCCACTGTTCATGCAGTCCCCTGCCCCGGGGACCCTGCGACCAGGCCCCTTCACAGTGCTGGGACTAAGCACATGCCTACTTGGAGGCCTTCCTCTTCAGTCCTCTGAACCTGGAGACAAAGAGACTAAGGAGCGTACCAGGAGCACCCCACCTCCCGTGCACACACACGCACACTGTACCGGGCAGAAGCACAGGCAGACGGGCCTGCGGGGGAGGGGGGGCCTGTAAGGTGCGCTCTCACGGTGACAAGTGCACACCCAGGAGGGTGCACAGATGCACCCCCTCCCCCAAGGACAAGGCTCCCCGAAAGGTTCATGGACTCTAATCTGGTTTGTTTATGCTGTGTGCTAGTTCCTAGCCCTCTACACTTCCAGATCTTTCCTTTGATTTCACACCAAGTCCAGGGCCCACTTTTCCATCCCTTTCTCCCTTGCCCTGGCTAGCCTTCAGGTCAGGCTCTGGGAACTGAAGGAATCAGTCAGGATCTCAGCAGGAGGGTGTGTGCGAGGTTCCTACAGCTAGACAGCAGGGGGGAGGGGTGGGAAAGCCCAGACACCACGAGAAATCCAACTCAATACCTATCTATTAAGTGGCTGTTGGGTGCCAGCACCATGGTAGGCAGCCAGGATGCAGAGGCAGGGCCCTGCCCTCAGGAATACCCAGTCTAGTGGCAGAGCCAGACATGTAAACAAGTCAGAGGGGTGACTGTCGGACAGAACTCACCGAGTGCTTTAACAATCGAACAGGCCCCGGAGAGGACCAAAAACCATTCTCTCTTGACAAATGACTGAGCTGCAAATGTCTTCCTTCCTACTCTCAGCCCCGGTTTTACATCCCCTCACGCCCCCCCCCACCCCCGTCCATGCCTCTGCCCTTCTAGATATCTCCTCCGGGACTGCTTTTTGCTCAGGGACACCAGCCCCCTCCCTCCCATCTGAGAACAGGGGAAGGATGCTAGGGTATAAGAGGGAGACTCACAGAGGGCCTGGGGTGCAGAGCATGGGGAAGGATACCGGGCCTGAGGTTTCCTGGGGGCCCCCCTCCAAAGGAGGTATGAGGCTAATTGTCTGTGAGGGACTCAGAGGTGGATGGGCCAAAGAGGAGTGGCCTCCAGATCGTCGCGTCGGACTGAACGTCTGGAAGTGAGGGCCCCACCTGTTAGTGGGAAGGTGGTGTCAGTGAAGCATCTGGAAAGGGTCTGGGCTGGGGACCTGCCTTTGCTGATGCCTGTCTGTCCTCCCCTGTCCTCCCCTCCACTTTCTCCTGTTCCATTGCCACCTTTGCATCTGTCCTTGGACTCTGTTTCTCTGGGTGCCACCCTATCCATCTGTGTTTGCCACCTGGGCCTCCTCCCTCCCTTTCTGGCGCTGATCTCTTCCTGCTTCTTGGGGTGTCTGTCTCTTTGCACTTCCCTGTATTGGCATTCTGTTCCCTTTTCCTGTCTCCATGGCTCACTCTGGGTCACTTCTATGTATATCTCTGGTCCTTGGCTCCCCTCTCGGTCTTCCATGTTCTCTCCATATCCCTGCCGGTCTCTGCCTGTCATCTCTGATGCTGGCCTCTGCCCCGCCATCCCTGCATCCATCTCTGTTCTGGGTCCTGCCACTGTTCCACTTCCTTCTCATCGTGGCCCCTCTTCCTGTCCCTCTGAGTAGCAGCGTCCCATCCAGCCCTCTTTCACCAAGTCCCTCTGCCGGGAGTCCCACTGGAAGTGCCTGCTGCTCTCCCTGCTCATGTACGGCTGCCTGGGGGCCGTGGCCTGGTGCCACGTCACCACGGTGACCCGCCTCACCTTCAGCAGCGCCTATCAGGGCAACAGCCTCATGTACCATGACAGCCCCTGCTCCAACGGCTATGTCTACATCCCCCTGGCCTTCCTGCTCATGCTGTACGCTGTCTACCTGGTGGAGTGCTGGCACTGCCAAGCCCGCCATGAGCTGCAGCACCGTGTTGATGTAAGCAGTGTCCGGGAGCGTGTGGGCCGCATGCAGCAGGCCACACCCTGCATCTGGTGGAAGGCCATCAGCTACCACTATGTCCGCCGCACCCGCCAAGTCACTCGATACCGCAACGGAGATGCCTACACCACCACCCAGGTGAGGGGCTGGAGGGGAGCACTGGTCAGTTCCGATGGGAGAGGGTGCACATCTGCTCCAACTGTGCCTGACTGTCCCCAGGGGGAGGAGCAGAGGCAGCAGTGAGTGAGCTCTGGTGGGCACTGCAACAGGAGGGCAGTAACAACAACCATAATAATAACAGCAAACACCAGCAGGCAGGCTGCTCTAAGTACTTTACAAACAGCAAATTATTTAACCCTCATGATGACCCAATGAGGTAGTTAACTATTATCCCCGTTTTACAGGTGAGGAAACCGAGCCTTGGCTAGGTTATGTAACTTGCCCAAAGTCAAACAGCTAGTGTGTGACAGAGCTGGGGTTTCAACCCAGGCAGTCTGGCTCCAGGGTCTATACTGTTTATTGCTTAATGGTGGAGGCAGCTTCATATGCACAGTCTCACAGCATGCCCTCACCTGTTCAGTGAGGTGGTTGCTACCAAGTCCTCTTGCACAGGTAAGGAGACCTTAGCTCAGGGACTTGACTAAGGTCTGCAGCTTCTAAGTGGTAATGCTAGGCTCAAGCCCAGGGCCCTAGGTCCCAAGTCCAAGGCTCCCGGAGGTGGGGGTAGGCATGGGAGGCCACATGGAGAGTGGTGGAGGTGGGGATAATCAATCAGCACTTCCCAGGCCCTTCAGGATTAGGCATATTAAGAGCCCTGGACACCCCCTCTCCCCTGCCCAGGCTCAGTGGTTGAGCGTTGACCTATGAACCAGGAGGTCACTGTTCCATTCCCGCCAGGGCACATGCCCGGGTTGGGGGCTCAATCCCCAGTGTGGGGTGTGCAGGAGGCAGCTGGTCAATGATTCTCTCTCACTATTGATGTTTCTATCGCTCTCTCCCTCTCCCTTCCTCTCTGAAATCAATAAAAACATGTTTTTTAAAAAAGAGACTTGGAGGAAGAGGAGGATGAGATTTTTCCCAGATGAGGGCGATCTAAGTCTCAGTACTGGGATGCGAAGCAGAGGCAGCCTGGGGCCTTAAGAATCAGGAGGGGGGCCACGTGACTGCTAAGGTGTGAACAGGGAGACAGGAGACAAAGGCCTTGGATAGGGAGCTCCTCTGGGGCCCATTTGGAAACACACTTGTAAAAGGGAGGACGGGCAGGCTGTGGTGAGGAGGGGACAGTGTGGGACGATGGACACAGGCAAAAGAGCCAGGCAAGCTGGAGGCCAGGGCGTGACCCCCAAAGGAAGCAGAGTTTAATTAAAATCAGAACGCATACTGGTAGGAATGAGGTTGAGTGCTGCCCTCATCTCTAACTCACTGATTAAACTGAGGGCCTCAGTTTCTCTATAAAACAGAAGAGAAGATCCTACCCGGCTCCCACCGGGATGAAAACCCCGATAGGCGTGGGGTCTGACCCGGCAACAAGAGCAGTGATGGGGGCGGGCGAGGATGAGCAGACAAGTGACTCCCACCTCCTTCCCCCGCGGCGCCCCAGGTCTATCACGAGCGCGTCAACACGCACGTGGCGGAGGCCGAGTTCGACTACGCGCGCTGCGGGGTCCGCGACGTCTCCAAGGCGCTGGTGGGGCTGGAGGGCGCGCCGGCCACGCGGCTGCGCTTCACCAAGTGCTTCAGCTTCGCCAGCGTGGAGGCCGAGAACGCCTACCTGTGCCAGCGCGCGCGCTTCTTCGCCGAGAACGAGGGCCTGGATGACTACATGGAGGCGCGCGAGGGCATGCACCTCAAGAACGTGGACTTCCGCGAGTTCATGGTGGCCTTCCCGGACCCGGCGCGGCCGCCCTGGTACGCCTGCTCCTCGGCCTTCTGGGCGGCGGCGCTGCTGACGCTGTCGTGGCCGCTGCGCGTGCTGGCGGAGTACCGCACGGCCTACGCGCACTACCACGTGGAGAAGCTCTTCGGCCTGGAGGGCCCGGGCTCCGCCAGCAGCGCGGGCGGCGGCCTGAGCCCCAGCGACGAGCTGCTGCCCCCGCTCACCCACCGCCTGCCGCGGGTCAACACGGTGGACAGCACGGAGCTGGAGTGGCACATCCGCTCCAACCAGCAGCTCGTGCCCAGCTACTCGGAGGCGGTGCTCATGGACCTGGCGGGGCTGGCGGCGCGCGGCGCCGGGGGCGCGGCCGGCGGCTACGCGTCCTCCTGCCGCTACGGCGGGGTGGGCGGCCCGGGCGCGGCGGGCGTGGCCCCCTACCGGCGCAGCTGCGAGCACTGCCAGCGCGCCGTCAGCAGCTCGTCCATCTTCTCGCGCAGCGCCCTGAGCATCTGCGCCAGCCCGCGGGCCGGCCCGGGGCCCGGCGGAGGCCCGGGCTGCGGGGGCAGCCGCTTCTCGCTCGGGCGCCTCTACGGTTCGCGGCGCAGCTGCCTGTGGCGCAGCCGGAGCGGGAGCGTCAACGAGGCGAGCTGCCCCACCGAGCAGACGCGGCTGTCCAGCCAGGCCAGCATGGGGGACGACGAGGACGACGAGGAGGAGGCCGGGCCGCCGCCGCCCTACCACGACGCCCTCTACTTTCCGGTACTCATCGTGCACCGGCAGGAGGGGTGCCTGGGCCACAGCCACCGGCCGCTGCACCGCCACGGCTCCTGCGTGGAGACCTCACTGTGACCAATGGCTCTCGACAAGCCCGCTGGCCTCCCTGCTGCCCCTTGCCGGACTGTGTCTCGATGATGACAGGCTGTGCTGAGCACGGAGCGGGTGGAGGGAGGCAAGGGTGAGCGGGACAGACCCCATGGGGCTGAGACCCCCGCCTTCCCTGTACATAACGAGAAAGATGGGTGGGAGGGGTCGGCAGAGAATTCCACTGGGGCGGAGTCGGCTCCTTCCAGCCCCGCCCCCGAGTTCCTAAGGGGACCCCTTCCTCCCTACACGCACACTCCAGGTTCCCACCCAGCCTTCTGACTGTTAGGTGGCGGCTGTGCTGTGGGACCCGCATTGGGCCTCGTCTTAAGTGAGAGGCTGGGGAGGTTCAGAGGCGGCGGGGAAGGGAAATTGGGGCTCTCCCTCTTTCACTGCCTGGCTCCCCAGCCCCACTCTCTACCAAGGGGCCGTGGTCTGGTGAACAGCCCGGCTGGCTTCCAACCAGCTAATGAATTCAGTGGGTCTGAGGCTGGGCCCGGTGTCAGCCCCCATCTCAAAACCTTGGACACGTTGCTACCCTCCTCCTGGCGTGTGCCCCAGAGACCGGGGTTTCCTTTCTGCCACTCCCATCTCTGTTGTTTATCTCACTGGGCCCCTGGAGTTTGGGTCCCAGGGAGACCGCACCCCACACAGATGCCCCTCCCGTCCCTCCCCTCTTGCTCCCTGGCACTGAGAGCTGCTGCCAGGGGGCCAAGGGCAGGACAGTGTACCTCGGTCCTTCCTGAGGCCTCTGGGCAGCAGCCGCCTCCCCTGGCTTCTGGAAGGGCACTCCCTGCAGAGGGAGTGAGATCCCAGCCACGCAGCATTCCGTAAAGCTGGCCAAGGTGCATGGCTGAGCGGGGAGATTGGGAGAGAGACCTGAGTGACGGGCGCTCTGGAAGCAGATGGGAGTCAGAGGAGAGGGCAGTGGAGGGCGGAGTGAAAGGGGTGGCCCACACATTGCCCCTGCAGGGCTGAGGACATTGTCACAAGTCCCAGTTGGAGAAACACTCAATTCCCGTGGCAGGTCAGAGCCAGGAATTCTCTAAATCTTGCCCGACCCCTCCCCCCTCCCCTATCCGGTGAGCTGAAGCAGCCCTGTTGTGTCCCAGGTTCTTCAAAGGGGCGTCCTGCCATCACCACCACAGGGCCCTGGCCCCACATCTGGTTCCCCCAGAGCTCTGATGTCGCCTTCACTCCCTACACTCTCACCCTATGTGCTTCTGTGTGCATGTCGGTGTGCAATCCTCCCACCCCCACCCTCCCAACTCTCCAGGCTAAAGTTTTCACAGCCGACTTAGAGCCTAGGGGTGGAGCTCATATTTCAAGCTGGAGAGGATAGCCCTTGGGCCGCCTGGCATTGCTCAGCCCTGATGCTTCTCACTTCTCCGGGGCCATCCATCAGAGCTTCCTCCTCCCTCCAGCCAGGCCGGCCTGCAGCCTCCAAGGCGTGGCCTGCACCTATGCAACATCTCTGGCTCCCCTGCCCTCCTTTTCCGGGGGGAGCTTGGGAGGCACAGACTGTGGGGCCACCACACTCTGTGGCCCATGCGGTTGGGCTTTATTTTCCCGTGGAGATGGCTGAATGGGAAGGGAGAGGGGGCCGAAGGGGAGGCTTGGGCAGGAGGGAACAGCTGCCATTATAATTCCCTGGGCAGCCGTGCCTGCCTGCCTGCCTGCCAGCACTGAACCCGCCTGGACCCTGAGTCTGTGCTCCTCGGGGGCCTGGCGGTCGGAGCACCCCTTTTTCCTCTGAGCAGACATCTGTGAGGTACAGATGGTGAGCTGTGGCCTCAGGCCCCAGTCCTTGGCCAGCTGGCATGTCTTGCCCTTGTGTGGCGGCAGCCCGGCCCGCTCCTGGCTCCAAGGAGGGAGGAACTCAGCTCCGCCTCCCTCGGGCTCGGGCTCATTTCTGAGACAGAGTCAACGCTGGGAGGAGGTGAAGGGAGGCCCTATTACTACTTTTGCCTGGACTGACCATTTCTGCCCAGGTCTCACACAGACAGCCTCACCTCCCACACGCGCACAGACTTAGACACCAATTCTTTGGTCTATTTCCTTGGTAGCTTTATTGATTGCCAGGGTAAAGAAAAACCAGAAAATTAATTACTCTCTAAAATTAAACTTTACACTGAATGTTCTTGTTTCTCTAATTAGAACCTCTGCTAGCAGCTGTGGCTATGTACACACACACACACACACACACACTCACACACTCACCCTCACACCTACGCATTTGCACTCTAGAACTGTCAGAGGGTGTCAGGCACAGACAGGCTCTGGTTGCCCGGACAGGCACACATGTGCAGTCACTCCCAAGCCCCCTTTGGTGCTCTGCTCAGCGCCTGCTTGTTGGAAGGAGTCCTCAGAGAGCAGGCACCCTGAGGCTGTGGTGGCAGCCCATGGCCCACCCTTTGAAAACAGATCTGGAGGTTCTGGAGTCCCTCAGCCTGAGGAGGATGGGAGATGGGGCTCAGCCTGGAGCCATGAGTCAGGTCCTCGCGTGGCCTCCTGGGTGGATGTGGTTTCTGTGGGTGTGGCAGCCACAGAGGGATGGGGTCTCCTGGCGGGCACCTGGAAGGCTTCATGTGTCCTGGGCACAAGGGCTTGTGGGGTGGGCGTGGCCTGGCTGGGAAGACAGGTCTCTGTCAATTGGGTGCATCACACTGTGGCCTTTCTGTCATGGATTTCCAAGCGCAAAGATTGTACAAATCAAACTGGTGGAAAATAAAGTTTCGGATGACTCACTGACTTCCCCTCCCAGCGTGGCACTTCCCCCACCGTCTCCCTCTCCCAGGAGAAGCTCTCTGGGGAGGCCCAGTTGAGTCCCTCCTGTCGCCTGTTTCCTCTTCTCAGGTTGTGGGGAAGGTTAGGGGATGTCATGGTCTGTGGAACTGGGTTACTTAAGCAGAGTCAGGCAGTAGGGAGATGGGATCTGCAGGGGCGAGGGTGGAAGAGCCAGGCCAAAGTTCTGTTGTAGCAGGACTTGGGACAGGGAGAACGAGAGAGAGAGAGAGAGAGAGAGAGAGAGAGAGAGAGAGAGAGAGAGAGAGGAGGTTAAAAGGTCAAAGATCTGTTCAGTAAAGAGGAAGATGTGAATGAGGGTCAGGGTTATGGGTGGCCCCCTGGGGAGTCTGGGCAGGCACAGCCCCTCAGAGTTCTCTCTGCCTCTCCTTATACCTGGAAGAAGTAGTTTATTTCAGGGGTTCTAATAATACCATCTCCCTGGGTTGTGGTCTGGGTCCTATTTAATACTCCTTCTCCCCCTACCCTAGGTCCGTCCCCCTCCTCACATCTTCAAACACACAACCCTTAAAAAAAAAAAAAAATATATATATATATATATATATATATATATATATATTTGATTTCAGAGAGGAAGGGAGAGGGAGAGAGAGAGAGAAACATCAATGATGAGAGAGAATCATTGATCAGCTGCCTCCGGCACACCCCACACTGGGGATCGAACCTGCAACCTGGGTGTGTGGCCTGACCAGGAATTGATGCTCAACCACTGAGCCATGCCGGCTGGGCACTGTTCAGATTCTTGATGAAATTTTATTATTCTATATAGAATGGGGAACTTACATCCTGGCAATCATAATCCTAACAGGAAACATATGTATACATGCACTCAACCTTTGATCACACCCCAGGATCTTCGTGGTCTCCCCCACTCCCTGTGTTCCAGTGTGACACTCTGCAGCAGGCACAAGGGGCATGACCGGGGGGGTGGGGGGTAGGGCAGTGGCCCAGGGTGGTTACTGCCTCAGCCCTGGCCCCTCTCCTATCCCACAGGGTTCTCAGGGCCCTTGGCAGTGAGTGGTGCTGAGAAGTGGCTGGGATTCAAGCCCCGCTGGCGGGCTTCTTCGCGGTTGGCACAGAGGGCCTGGCCAATGAGGTATTCGCTCTCCTGGGCTACATCGGACAGACGCAGGTCAAACTCCAGGAGCGTCTTGTTGTCTGACATGCCTTCCAGGAGCTGCTTCCCGCCGTCCTGGGAGAGGAGCAGAGGGAAAGGGTCGTTTGTTTACATCACTACCCAGGACCACACACACTCATATACGTATTTACAGAGAGAGGTGACTGGAACAGGAGTTCCACAGAACAGTGCTTAGCCTATTTGTGCAGCACGCTGACATTTTCTCCATTCTGTCCTCTGTGAGCTGCAGCAGCCATCCTGGGGCCACACAAGGAGCCCAGAGAGGACACGGCAGGTGGCTGGGACGGCAGAGCAGGGGCTGGCACTGAGCCAAGGAATTTCCAACCCCAGGACCCCCAACCCTGGGGCTTCTGATAATGGGACATTGCAAAGTCAATGTAATACAGAAGCATTTATTTTTTTAAAAAATGAGGTAGACGATAAAGGAAAACATCAGCAGATATACCAAGCAGTTAACAGTGCATTTCAATTATATTACATCCTTGTATATGTTCACCAGCTGTTCATAGAAACTGCATTTCTTACTCTGCAACTTGATTAAGGAAATTTGAGAGACATTTGTCTATTGGAAAGAACCCCAGCTTTTGATCAGTCCTGGGTTTAATCACAGCTTTGCCACCTCCTACTGATTGGATGCTCTCAGGCAACTCACTAACGTCTCTGAGACTCAATTTTCCATCTGTAAAGTGAGGTTAAGAATACGCATTTTACCAGATAACAGTGAGGGTGAGAGGAAAACAATGGATAGTGGATACCAAGCATAGTCTATAACCCTGAGTAACAGATAGCAATTAGTAAAGACCGAGCCAGTGCCTGCAATGGTTAATTGCTTTACAGTATAACTAATTTAATCCTCCCAGTACACTTTGAGGTAGATACTGTTACTATCCCCATTTTACAGATGAGAAAATGAAGGCCCAAAGTGCTAAATGGCAGGGCTGGGATTTGAACTAGGTACGGCCGTGATTTTAACAATCACCTGGTAAGTGCCCCATGACAGTTGGGTTCTACCCCCACCCCCAAGGCCCAGGGCCTCCCCGTGGCCCTCCCTTCTCCAGGAGCTGTGGCTCACCGGTCCTATGTGGTTGCAGGACAGGTTGATTTTGGTGAGTGTGGTATTGACGGAGAGCACCTGGGAGAGGAGTGTGGCCGTAGGCTCCGACAGCTCGTTCCCACCAAGGTGCAGCGTGGTGAGGCACTTATTGGTCTGCAAGGCGTGGGCAAGTGCCTGGCCGCCCTCATCCTCAATGCAGTTGAGGCGCAGGTTGAGGGAGAGGAGGTTGGTGTTGTGTGCCAGGGCGTGAGCCAGCGACTGGGCACCAGGCGCACGCACCTGGTTGTTGGCCAGGTTGAGCACACGCAGGCGGCTGTGGCTCAGCAGCTTGGCGGCCGCACGAGCGCCACGGTCCCCGATGCAGTTGTGTGACAGGTCCAGCTTCTCCAGGGCCGGGTGATCCAGGAGGCTGCGAATTAGGATGCGTGCCTTGTTGTCATCCACCTTGCTTCGGGTCAGCCTAAAGACCTATGGGCAGAAAAAAAAAAAAAAAAAGATCTGTGGGCAGGTAAAGGGTCCATAGCACCTGGTAGCCAGGGATCATCTGCCTGCCTGCCTGCCTGCCTGCCTGCCTGTCTGCCTTCTGCAGGTAGAAGAGGGAGCCGCAGGGAGGCTGAGGTTCTGCTCACCTTGTGTTGGCTGCCTCGCTGGCCTGCCTAACATGGCAGAGTGGGGCAGAACTGAACGGCTGGTAGGGGGGAAAGGCTACCATTTCTTGAGTAATGACTATGCGCTGGGCATGCTGCTAGAAGGTGTCATAACCATTATCTCTCAGCCTCAGCATCCCAGTGAGGTAGAATGAGTCCTCTCCACTTTACAGACAGCAAATGGAGGCAGAGGGTGGACGTATCACTTGCCCAGTCACACTGTGATTGAGCTGTGGAGGCAGGTTTGGAATCCAGGCCTGTTTGACCCAGCAGCCCCTTGCCGGACCCTCCTCAGCTGGCCAAGATCCACCATGGCAAGGAGAGGCACTCAGGGTAAGAACCAGGAGAAAGTGGGAAGGGTGAGAACCGGGAAATGGATGGGATGAAGTAAAGAGATAAAGAAAGGGCGTGGGGTTAGCATTATGAACATGGGAGACGGGAGCCCCCATCCCTTTCCTTCTCACTGAGCTGTTCCACTCCTCCCTCTTACTTGGGGTCTCGGAGTGGCTGGCTGTTCGCTCCCTCCCTACCCACTAGTCCCCTCCTTTCTTCACACCCCCTTAGCCAGCGGAGAGTCTTTCGTTTCTCACCTTTTCATTGCATCTGCCTCGCAAGGCTCCAAGCTGGGTCCAGCCCACTCTCTTATTTTCTGCGTGTCTGTGCCCAGGCAACTGACATGATGGAAAATGTCTCGTGACAGCCCTAACCGGTTGGCTCAGTGGATAGAGCGTTGGCGTGCGGACTGAAGGGTCCCAGGTTCAATTCTGGTCAAGAGCATGTATCTTGGTTGTGGGCACATCCCCACAGGAGGCAGCTGATCAATGTTTCTCTCTCATCGATGTTTGTAACTCTCTATCCCTCTCCCTTTCTCTCTGTAAAAAATCAATAAAATATATTTTTAAAAAAAAAAGAAAGAAAGGAAGGAAGGAAGGAAGGAAGGAAGGAAGGAAGGAAGGAAGGAAGAAAGGGAAAATGTCCTGTGATAGAACTGATTGGTTTTGCTGGAACCACCAATAGCCCTCAGTACTGTGTGCTCACTCAACTCTGTGTCTCTGGCCAACATATTCTCTCATAATCTACAACACTTTCAGCCTTCTCCAACCTCCTCAAACTTCAGGGGTCACCCTAAAGCCTCCTCTCAGCAGGTAAATGTCCTCCTGCCTCCCCAGCCATTGAATGGGAACCCTCCATCTTCCTATACCGAACACAACATCCCACCACACCCACTCTTCCCTCTGCCCAGGGCCGACCGCCCCGTCTCAGTCCTGGATCCCACCCTCCTGCCTTCTCAGGAACCTTCCACGGTCAATGAGCCTGTACCCTCTGTCCTGGATTAAACCCATTTCTTGCAATTGGATGGAAATTTTCATTGGTTTTAAACACATGCAAGTTTCTTCTTAAGAAAACCCACCCCACCCCCCATCAGCTATTTCTACTCTACCTTCTTCCCCTTTCACAGCCAAGTTCTTGAAAATGTTGATCACTGACATCCAGTTTCCTCACTTCCCACTCTCTCCATAAACCACTCCAGCACGCCGATCTGGCCTCTGCTCCTGGCACTCCACTGACAGAGCTACCCCCTCCCCCAAGTAACCTCCGCATTTGCTAAGTCCAGGCCTCAGCTCCACTCCACCCATTGCTGGTCACCCGCTCTTCTTCCTTTTTAAAAAATATATTTTTATTGATTTCAAAGAGGAAGTGAGAGGGAGAGAGAGATAGAAACATCAATGATGAGAGAATCATTGATTGGCTGCCTCCTGCATGCCCCCCACTGGGGATTGAGCCCACAACAGGAGCATGTGCCCTTGACAGGAATTGAACCTGAGAAACTTCAGTTGGCAGGCTGACACTCTATCCACTGAGCCAAACCAGCTAGGGCTCATGCTCTCCCCTCCTCCTCCTCCTCCTCCTCCTCTTCCTCCTCCTCCTCCTCCTCCTCCTCTTTATCCTCCTCCTCCTCCTTCTCCTCCTCCTCCTCCTTCTCCTTCTCCTCCTCCTTCTCCTCCTCTTTATCCTCCTCCTCCTCCTTCTCCTCCTCCTCCTCCTCCTCTTCCTCCTCCTCCTCCTCCTCTTCCTCCTCCTTCTCTTCCTCCTCCTCCTCCTCCTTCTCCTCCTCCTCCTCCTCCTCCTCTTCCTCCTCCTCCTCCTCCTTCTCCTCCTCCTCCTCCTTCTCCTTCTCCTCCTCCTTCTCCTCCTCCTCCTCTTCCTCCTCCTCCTCCTTCTCTTCCTCCTCCTTCTCTACCTTCTCCTTCTCTTCCTCCTCCTTCTCTTCCTTCTCCTTCTCCTCCTCCTCCTCCTCCTTCTCCTCCTCCTCTTCCTTCTCCTCCTCCTTCTTTTTGTTACTCCTCACCGGAGGAGATTTTTCCATTGATTAATAGAGATAGTGGAAAGGAGGGAGGGAGACAGAAACATGATGTGAAAGAGACACATGGATCGGTTGCCCCTGCTCCTGACCAGGGCCGGGGATCAAGCCGCAACCGGTATGTGCCCTTGACTGGATTCAAACCCGGGACCCGTCAGTCCGAAGGCTGATGCTCTATCCACTGAGCCAAACCAGCCAGGGCTCATCCTTTCTTCCTGAGACGCACTCCTCCCTGGGCTCACACAAGCCGGTGTCCCCTTTTCTTCCTTCTCTGATTTCCTGGCAGGCTCTCCCTCTTCCAACCAGAATATTTGGGACATATTTATACTAAAAAATCATTCAGTATGTATCTGGAATTCAAATTTAACTGGACGCCCTTTATCTGTAGTGTTTTTTTTTCTCTCTTCTAAATCTGGCAAATATCCTAGTTGCAGTTTTACATTCACATGATTGCTGATTAGTGTCTTTCATCGCACTAGACGTTCTAGAGGGCACAAGTGGTATGATTTTGCTCAATGCGGAATCTTCAGCACCTAGGACAGGGCCCGGAGCGCAGATGTTTGTCGAAGGAATAAATAGCTGGTGAGCTGGGAGGGCAGTGCCTCCCTCATCTCTGCATCCTCAGAACCCGGCTGGGTGCAGGGTGCATAAAAGGACACTCGAGCCCTAACCGGTTTGGCTCAGTGGATGGAGCGTCGCCCTGCGGACTGAAGGGTCCCAGGTTCGATTCCAGTCAAGGGCATGTACCTTGGTTGTGGGCACATCCGCAGTAGGAGATGTGCAGGAGGCAGCCGATCGATGTTTCTCTCTCATTGATGTTTCGAATTCTCTATCCCTCCCCCTTCCTCTCTGTAAAAATAAATAAATAAATAAAATTATATATATATTTTAAAGGACACTGGATCAGTGACTAAGAAAAGGAGAGGAGGAAGATGAGGAGAGCTGGGGCACAGAAGGTGAGAGGGGATCAGAGAGATGCCGAGACTGGAAGTGGGGCAAGGCCGAGGGGCAGTGGTACCTTCAGGGTGTGGCAGGCCTTAATGGTCGCTGCCAGGGACTGGCAGTCACGGTAAGTGAAGAGAAAGAGGTTCCACTCGAAGTTCATGCCACAGTCCTTGATGCCGTACACCAGGTCCAGCTCCTCCAGCTGGCTCAGGCCGGCCACTAGCTCGCCCAGCTGGTAGTGGTCCATGGAGGGCTCCTCCATCTCTCCCTCGCTGCCCGAGTCCGACTGGTCCCCGCTGTGCTGCAGGGGCCGCAGCTGCACGGGCGGGAGGAACTGGTCCACGCGGATCCTGCGCACATAGTTCCTGCAGAGCGGCAGCAGGTCCAGGATCACGGCGGGGTCCGTGGAGTCCGGGATGAAGTGTTTGATCAGGTTCTCCAGGTGCCGCTCGAAGAACAGGCGTTTCCAGCTGCCGCCGTGGCAGTCCAGGTGGCACACGGGCCAGCGCTGCTCGCAGCAGCGGTGCCAGTAGTTCTCGTCATCGATCAGGTTGGCGGTCACGGCCAGCGGCAGGTCCGGGGGCAGCTGGCGCAGGACCTTCTGCTGGTGCTCGGGGAGCAGCTGCGTCAGGATCGGATTGTCTTCGGGACCGAGGGAGGAAAGCCGGAGTCACGGTGTTGGGGACCCCCCACCCCCACCCCATGGGGCCCTGGGCTGGGCCTGCCTGGGGGCACTGCGGGAAGGGAAGCCCCTCCCCTGCCCTCAGGGAGCCCAGACCGAGAGGGAATCAGACTTGACTCCCAGGGAGGCTTCCATCTGAGGGGTAGACACAGCCCCTGGCTTCGGGGCCTGCCTTCCCTGAACGTTGCCATCGCAGCATCTGGCCGCAGGGAGCTCCCATTCTGAGGAAGAATCTCAGGCCCAGCCCTCAGTCATCACTTAGTCTGATGGAGGGACAAGTCCTGACTTTAGAGGCTCCCAATTTGATTTGCTTCATTCATTTCAAAATTTAAAAAAGTTTTTTGAAGGATTAAAAATGGCGGCAGATTTGTAAAATTGGAACTAGAGCAGTGAACTCGCATCCTTCACTGCCTCCCTCTGTCCTTTGCATCCAACAAAACAAAATAGGGGGAGAGGTGGGGAGGATGGGGCAGGAGTTGGCCGAAGACAACCGCCCCTGCCTTGACTTTTCCAAACAAGTCTGAGCCCTGGGTGTTTTCCTGGAATCTTTATGCTTAGTCTTCAGACGGCCTTCTTAAAGGACACTGCAGACACATGTGTCTTCTCAAGGATTGCTTACCCGACTGATAGTATCTAATAGTTAATTTTAGTTCAAGCTGTTGTTACAATAAAAGCCTAAGGAGGCAGGCAAATGGGGATGTTTGGTTCCTCTAGCCAAGCAGTCCCTTAGCCCTCTCTTTCATAATAAAATAATAAAATAAAATAAAAAATTTATTAATTAATTAAATAAAAAATAAATTTTTGTGAGCACCTACTATGTGCCAGACACTATTCTAAGTGCTGAGGGTTCAAGAGTGAATGAAATGAAGGAAGCCGCTTCTTCTTATGAGGGGAGGCAGACAATAAACAAGTCAAAGGAATATATTGTAGGTCAGGTAGTGATAGATGCTGTAGAAAAAAAGATGGCCCTGTCCTCAGAGAGCTCCCCATCCAACTTGTCTTTGAAAAGTATGAACATTTACAGTGCACAGAGGGCAGAAAAAAAAACCAAGAACGTATACATGCCACAGAAGACTCCAAGAGCGTAAATAAAGGTCAGTCAACCAGGGAGGGCTTTCCGGAGGAGGCGGTCACTAGGGTTTGGGCTGGGTTTTGTTGGAGAGAGTGGGAAAGGTGAGGAGAGGGCATAGGCATGGAGGGCATGTTGCGGGCAGGAGTCTAGTGGGGCCTGGAAGTGGGGACAGCAGGAGACACTGTCCTGGCTGCAGGGGTCAAAGGGAAGTTCTGTGTGGGAGGGGAGGGGCTGCCCAGGACCCAGCCTCTGAGACCTCTCCTCCAGGCTGTCCCCATCCACCCTGCTCCTGGCTTCTCCCTCCTGCTCCTGGCACAACAGACTCACTCCGGAAGTTCTTGACAATGTGTCGAATGCAGAGATCTGTGAGCAGGGGGACGATGGCCAGTGACCACTCAGCATCCTCGGCGATGATCCTGCGCATCAGACGCACATTGGGCCCATGATTTGGACCCCTGGACTTCCAGGTGGCTGGGGAGCTCTTTGTGAACTTCGAGCCTGAGCTCGAGGGTTGGCCTGCAGCTTGAGGCGAGGTTGATGCTGTTGTTAGGGTTTCCTGCATGCTCATGACTGGCAACCCAGGGGCAGGTGACCCCGTGGGGATGGCCTTGTGACAGGAAGTTTCTCACACTGGCAGGTCCTTGATGCTGGTGGGAACCTGGGGTCAGAGGAGGGGGTAGAGGTGTTACTTTGGAGGGTCTTGGTGGGCATTTATCGAGAGAGAGAGAGCACAGAGTGGTTCTTAAGGCAGTCTCTGGAGGAGAGCAGATCCAGGTGCAAACCCCGTTGACTAGCTGTGTGGCTTTGGGCAAGTTACTGAACCTCTCTGAGTTTCAGGTGCCTTCTCCGTGAAATGAGGATGACAGTTATTGGTAAGATGATTGGGAGGAGGGAATGGACCCAGAGAGGCATAGTATATGTCGACATATGAAACTGTAGCAAGGAACAGCCCCGTATTTTAGATAATGATAATGATATGGCCAGTCCAAGCAGTTGCTGTATGCTGAACACTCTTCTTAGTATGCATATTAACTCATGTAATCCTGGCAATAGCCTTTTTAAGATAAGCACTTGTATTATTCCCATTTTTCTGATGTGAAACTAAAACACAGAGAGGTTAACTGACTTGCCGGATGTCACACAGCTTAAAACTAACAAGAATGGGCCCTGGCTGGTTGAGAGCGGCATCCCATGCACCTAAAGGTCGTTGGTCAGATGGATGTTTCTCTCTTGCATTGATGTTTCTTTTTCTCCTTCTCCCTTCTTCTCTCTCTAAAACCAATAAAAACATATTTAAAAGCAAACAAACAAGAAAGGACCTAAATTCAGTCTATCAAGTTCACATTCTTACCCCTACATTGTACTGCCTCTCTGAGGCTGAGGGATGGGCGTGTGTAGAGCCAAAAGACCGAGGTATAACAAAGAACCATTTAGTTCAAAACAGCTCCCTGCAGTAAGTATTTACAGAACAGCAACTTCCTGGCCAATAAATGTAATGCAAGCCACACGTACCACTTGAAACTTTTCAGTTGCCACATTAAAAAGGCAGAGAGAAACAGGTGAAATTAATTTCATACTTAACCCAATATGTCCAAAATATTATTGTTTAAATATGTCATCTATCTAAAAGTTATCGAGATATTTTATATTTATTTTTTCATATCTGAGTTTCTGTTTCCTTCTAAATCGGAAGTAGCTGGTGGCTACTGTTTTGGACAGTGCCGCTGAGAGAGTAAGGGAAGGGGGCACTGGGCCCCCTCTCTGTCCAGGGTGCCAGCACCTTCTTTTCCTCCTCCCCTCTGAGGGCTCGAGCTCTGGGCCCCCTCCCTTCAACCCCCACCCCAGTCTTCCTTCTAGTTCTCCAGCCTCCCAGCACTCCAGATGGCAGCAGGAAGTCGTGGGAGGTGAAAAGGCAGCTAAATCTGGGGCTGAAGACAGAAGAGAGAGGATGTATCTGGGGCTGGGGAACCCTCCCCCCATTTGTGCACTCCTGCCCGCTGCCCTGAGACTGCAGACAGAAAAGGGGCTGCCCAGCACACAGCAACTCCTCCAGGCGGCCTCCCCGCAGCTCTGCTCCCCGGCCTGGGGCCCTGAGGAGTGCCGGGTGGGAAGGAACACTCTGAACCAGCGAAGGTTTCCTGGGCAGATGGAGGAGACCAGATGGCGCTCCCCAGCCCGCCAGGCATCTCGAGGAGGAAGAGCCTGGCTGTGCGTGCCCGTGAGTGAGACAGAGAAAAAGAGGAGGAGAAGGAAGGGGGGCTGTCGGGGAGATAGCTCTGTATTTGTGACACCCTTATGCAAATCAAATGCAAAGTCACAGACTGGGTCCGGAATTGTGGAGTCACCAGCTGGGGCTTTCTGGGTAAGGGCCCCTCGGAGGGTGTGGCCAGGAGGGTGCTGCTGAGAGGCAGCACATGACTTTGCATTTCTGGCTTTGCCGGTGATGTGACCTTTGGCCAAGTTACTTAACCTGTCTGAGTTCCAGTCTCCTCATCTTCCTATGCAGGCATTGTGGGGATTGGTCTAAAACATTTGACTAGTATGGATAATATTGGATAATATTTAGTTTCACATCAGAAAAAGGGCCCTGGAGGGCGAAGGCACGAGGAAGGACAGGGTCCTAGGCTGCGGAGAGGACACCCTGGACACCCGAGAGGGGACCTTGGAGTGCGGCCCTTCCCTATCTCCAGGCGGCAGTGGCTGCGTTCAGGGCTGGATGGAAGGACAGAGAGCCAGAGAGGAGGACAGACAGCAGACCGGCCCTGTTCCTGCTAGCTCCGCCTCTGGGCTCCCTGAAGCACTCCTGCATTCCCCTCAGGCCCAGTGCATCCCTGGCAGCACCCCCAGGGGAGCAGGGCCCAGCCTGGCAGGGGAAGCCCCAGGGACCGGCGGGCGTTGCCCTGGAGCCGGCTCTCCAGGCGTCACTCACTGTACCGTCAGGCCTCGCCATCCTGGGAGGCCACGTGTTGGGCAACCCCACCCAGCCCGGGCCCAGGCGGGCACCCTGAGGAACTGGGTGGGCCCAGCCGCACGGACTAATGCCCGCTGTCTCAGGACCCGGCCTTTCTTCCTGAGGTCTGGCCCTAACCTCTCTCACTGCGGTTTGGAGCCTGCAGCCTCCCCTGGGCAGGACACTGCAGGAGGAGTCCCAGGGTGGGTCCCAGAGCCCGGAGCCCCCGCCAGAAAGGAAAGGGCCGATCAGCCTCCATGGGCTCCGCACCCATGGCTGGAGTGAAACAGCGCCCCTACTGTCCCGTGTTCACAGAAACCTCCGTATTCCACCGAGTCTGATGTCACTTGAAAAGCAAATGTGGAAACCACTGACCTCATAGTAAGGTCAGAGTTGATTGTTTTCACTTAGTAACTTCTTGAGTTTTCAAAAAAAAGATATTACAAAAATGTTTTTGGCAAGCAAATTACTTCCCAACACAGAGGATTCTTCTAAGGAGAGTTTTAGTTCCAGATGATTTTTTAAAAATCTACTATTAAAAACGAATAAAATATAAAACAAAGTATATTTAAAAAGATATGAACAAACTCCTTGCCTCTCTGTTATTAATGTTACAAAGATGAAATAAGGTGTGGTCCCTCCCTGGCAGGTGGTGACTTTGACCCCTGCCCTCTCAACCACAAGGCTGCCACCCTTTTGGCTCCCCTCCCACCTCTCTCCCTTTTTTTTTTTTTTTTTTTTAAATATATTTCATTGATTTTTTACAGAGAGCAAGGGAGAGGGATAGAGAGTTAGAAACATCGATCAGCTGCCTCCTGCACACCCCCCACTGGGGATGTGCCCGCAACCAAGGCACATGCCCCCGTCTGGAATCGAACCCGGGACCCTTCAGTCCGCAGGCCGACGCTCTATCCACTGAGCCAAACCGGTTAGGGCCCACCTCTCTCTTCATTCTTCCCCAAAGTCTCTGGCGCAGGCTCCCTCCTCTGCCCACTCCTGGGTGAGGTTCCTCGGGGTTCTGCCTACTCGCCCTGCCTCACTCCTGTTGATGGATCGCAGGCCCACTGGCCTGCCTCCCAGCCCCCTCAAACTCAACTGCCCCCCAAGAGAAGTCGGTGCCTCCTCCAAACCAATCCTCCTCCTGGCACCCTACCTCGCCATCCAGATGACTGAACCGGAAGCCGGGAGTCGCCACTCTTCTCCTGCCCCCGACACCTGGTTACTGTTGGAGCCCCTCGGCGCTGCCTCCCAACCCAGCATCCATAATCTCCCTCCTGCTGCTGCCTCAGCCCGGACCTCGGACCTCGCTGCCTGCCTGGATGGTAGCTTCAGCTGCCCAGCACCTGGGTCTGCATCCAGGGTGGTCCCCTCACATCTGGCCTCCCCACTGCTGCCAATGCAGGCCTCCCCACTGCGCGCTGGTACAGCTCAGCTCCTCAGCTCGGCAGAGGAGGCACTCTGCCACTGGACGCTCTCTGCCTCTGGCACACATCAGCTCGTTCATGCTGCCCAGCCTTTGCTCATGCTGTTCCTTCTGCTTGGAATGCCTTTCCCCCGCCCTCCCCCCCATTTCAGCTCAGGAAGCAGGGCTGCTTTGGGGCCTGAGCTCAAGCACCTCTTTCTCCAACACCTTTCAGCCTTTCTTGTCACTCCCTTTATCAGACCCCCAGCACCTGTGTCACTTCAGCCATCTGATTGACCCCTCTCCCCCCACAGCCACACTAGACTGTGAGCTCCTCAGGGGGCAGGGACTGCTCGCTACTCATTTTGATCCCTGGTCCCTAGCCAGTGTGAGGTCTGCGGTAGGTGAGGCAGCTGTTGTTTGGGGCTGCCCTAGCCCTTCTGATAATAGATTCTGGACCAAAGGCGTATCCTATATCGGTCAGAGCGATTGGCTCAGGGTGGCCACCTGCTGCAAGCCAATCAGAGTCCTCCTTGGGTTTGTCCAAGTGGAAGTAGACAGAAAGACATAGGGATCCCTTACTGAAGGCAGCTATTTCCCTTCCCAAGGAAAGGACCTGTCTGCAGCAGGGGAAGGGGACCAGGTGGAGACCAGCAGGAGTGCGCGGTGACAGAGAGCACCTGGCGACCTTCAGTCCCCAGTCCTAGTCCCGGAGGCCCCAGAACTGCCTGATTCCTTAACGGTTCCTTCAATTCTGAGACCTAACTCTGTCTTCTGACAAGTCCTTTTTGCTGAAGATGGGAGCTGGGTTTCTGCCCCTTTCTGTGCAAAGGGTCCTGGTTCTGACCCTTTTGAATTTAGTTCATTTGATGAATTAAATTATGGGAAAAATCCTAAATCAGTAGATGAAATATTTCAATGGGATGGCCGAAAAGGGCCAAAGGCCCCCAGGTTATTATACACAGGGCCTGACATCTAACCCCTGTGGCCTTTCCCCCTGAAAGTCCTGAGCCTCCAGTCTTACCGCCCATCTCTCCAGCCATAGGACAGTATCGGCAACTAACAGCTGCTGGGCACTTCACAGCCACCAGCTCCTTTCAGAGCTCTTCTCTCGCCCGAGTCTTACAAGCACTCTACATGGAGGCAGGGCAGGCTTCGTGGCCCCATTCTGCTGATGAGTAAACTGAGGACCAGACCTGGAAACGACCGGCCCTGGGACATCCGGGAGGGCTGGAGCCAGGGCCTGCGGGCAGGCTGCTGCCTCTAAGCACAGGCACTGCTCTTTCACAGTCACTTGCTGTGTCCCCTCCCCCACACTTTCCTCCTCTCCGCTCAGAAAGAAGGAGGCACATTCACTGGGAAGTAGGGCTCCTACCTTCACCCAGTGAGCAGCTGTCGGGGAGGGCCTCCCAGGCGGGGAGAGCCACCAGGCCGTGGCACCCTACTGTGGGAATTTCAGGCCCCTAACTTAAGGCTTTCATCCCTGTTACATTAAAATGTACTTCCCCCCTCAATGAAAGGAAATCTTAATGTTACATACCTGTGTGTATATTCATATGTTAACCTTGAGCTGCCTTTTAAAAATGTACCTCATCATTTTAGGTCAAACATAGTAAATTATGAAATATGTACTGACACTAATGTTGCAAATGTTAAAAAATGTAGAAGTCACTTGATATATTATTCAGACAGTTTAAGCGTACAGAAATTATTTATCTTCTTATCAATCATCCAGGCCTCAGTGTGAGTGAGTTTCAGACCCAAAAACAAAATTAGGACGGCGGGGAAGGAAAATGTACCGCCGAGAGGGCAAAAGGTGGGGAGGCTCACAGGACGAGAGGCAGGAGACCTGAGATAACTCCACCGGCCTCACAGGGTGGCCTTCATCGGGCCTGGGCCACCAGTGTTCAGCGGAGAGTGTGGTAGGTGGCACTGTCTTCCCTGGAAGCTTGCAGGGATGGGTAGACACGCATTAGCCAGGAGCCCCCAAGGGCCCACAGAGGATAGCCCCAGCCCAGGCGTGGCTCAATGACTGAGCATCAACCTATGAGCCAGGAGGTCATGGTTCGATTCCCGGTCAGGGCACATGTCCGGGTTTCAGGCTCCATCCCCAGTAGGGGGTGTGCAGGAGGCAGCCTACCAATGATTCCCTCTCATCATTGATGTTTCTCTCTCTCTTCTTCTTCTCCCTTCCTCTCTCTATATAAATTTTAAAAAGAGGATAGCCCCAGAGGATAGTCACCTTACTCTGGAGCCTTCTACCTGGGAACCCACAGGCAGGCAGAGAACCCCAGTTTGAAGGCTGGAAGCGTGTTCAAGACTCTGGTCCTTCTCCGGGGCAGGAATCCTCTCTGACATTCCAGAGAAGGTTGGGCCACCAGCACCAAGTGCCTCTTGTGCCACCATCGGGCGTCCTCATCTAAGGGCACACCTGCCCCTGGGTGAGGAGAGTGGGGACATGCCCAGTGACCTTTCATCTCCTGGAGCCTGTCTCGTGGGCCTATTGGGCTTCCCATGCTACGCCTCTAGCATCCATCCAACCCAGCCCAGGACCACAATCCCTGGAGAAAGGCTAATCCTCCTCCCTCCAGGACCCCACCCTGGAACCACATTCAGGCCATAACTTAGAGCTAGGTGTTAAGATCTGCCTTCTACAGGTAATGTAAGTGATGAGATGCCCCGGTTTGGGCAGGGCTATCCTTATTTTTGATGGCAGTTTGGCGGACAAGCGTTCTGGGAGCCATGTCCTTGCCTATACAGACAAGGACTTGCAGGCTGTCAGTAGCATGCGCACAGCGGGAGGCAGTGTAGCGGCTGGCCAAGGACTCAGGGGTTACACCGACTAAGGTCAAACATCCACTCTGCCCCCCAGCATCTGAGAGACCTTGGGCAAGTCACTTTACCCCACCAAGTCCCCATTTCTTTCTCTATCAATGGGGATGGTAATTCTTACTTCACAGGATTATCCGGAGGATGAAGGAGCTAATGTGCATGAGGCATTTCATATAGTGCTGGCCTTAGAGCCAGCCCTCAAGATACATGTTAGATATTAAAATGAAGATGTTAGATGTCTGACCCTAATTTACTGAATCTTCAGATTTATTGTTGAGGATTATGATTGTTGTTATAACATCATTAGCCCCATTTCACAAGGGAGGAAACAGGCACTTAGAAAGATTAAGTAACTTGCTACACTTCACACAGCTAGCGAGTGGAGAAGCTAAGGTTTGAGTTGATGTCTGTTTGAAACGAAGCTCTTTTACTTCCATGAACAAAAGCGTAACAGATAGTGAGATGTTGGGGCTGCTTCCTAAATGCCCCAGGCTGGTCATACACAGCTTAGGGGCTGAAGGGTGCAAGGCAACGATCCAGTTCTGTGGAAAGAGCCTGTGCCTGAAGTGATGTAGGCGGTGAGGGAAACTGGGCCGTTCCGGTCAGCACCAGAAGGGGGACCCCCACCCTCCACGCTGGTGACAAGATGGGGGAGCTCACGAGCCAGGGGAAGTGGGAGGTCCACAGGGCAAGCGCTGTGGATGACCGGTCTGGGGCATTGCGGAAGCCAGCCCACGAATTCTACAAGAATCCTGCAGCACTGTGCTCTCCTGCCCACAGCTCTCGCTGCCCGGACATTCTTCACAGACCCCGGACCCACAGCTTGACTCCCTAGCACGTTCCCTTTCTCAGAGGCGGTCTCGGACCTTCTCCATCCTCTGCAG